CAAACATTCAGAAGGTCGAATATGAGGCACTCACTGTCTCCGGAGATAACTACCTCAAATGGGCCCTTGATACCAAGATCTACCTCAACTCAAAAAGTCTGGGTGAATGCATCAAAGATCCCAACACCGCGACTCAAACAGAACGGTACTCGGCGATATTTATTATCCGCCATCACCTCGCTGAGTCTCTCAAGCAACAATACCTCACTCTTGAGGATCCACTCGAACTTTGGGTGGCACTGAAAAAGCGATATGACCATCAGAAAACGGTCATACTGCCCCAAGCCAAGTTCGACTGGAAGAACCTACGGTTCGAAGATTTCAAATCCGTCGAAGAATTCAATTCCGAACTCTTTCGGATAGTTGCACTCATAAAACTATGTGGCGAGGAGGTCACTGATAAGGATATGCTAGAGAAAACATTCTCTACTTTTGGCACTCCCAATGTTGTTCTCCAACAACAATACCGTGCCATGAATCATAACACCTATGAGGATTTGATATCTTGCTTACTGCTTGCTGAGAAGAACAATCAGCTTCTGTTGAGGAACAGTGCCATGCGGCCTCCAGGATCAGCCCCATTGCCAGAAGGAACCAGAAAAGAGTCCAACTTCGTCCAACGTAACAGATCCTCAGATCGTGGACGTGGACGTGGAAATGGACATGGACTGCGCGGCAGAGGACGCGGTAGACCGAACCAAGATAACCGACCTAACCTCAGTTTTGGTCGGGGTAAGGGTCGTGGTATCAACAAACCGACCCAAAGAGGCAGTTCATCTAGACCAACTCCTTGCTCAAGATGCGGAATGACTAATCATTGGGTCAAGAACTGCCGTACTCCCAAATATCTTGCTGAGCTCTACCAGAAGTATGGGAAAGACAATCATGAGGCTAACCTGGTTCATCAAGTCAATGAAGATGACTCAAAGGATGATAAGATTGATGGCATGGATTATGAGCTCTCCGACCTTCTTGATTGATCTCAAAAATCTGAATTTGTTTTTCATTACTCCTTAAACTTTTATCTTTTGTTTTTGGGATTTAGTGTCTTTACTTTGGATTTTTAAGACCTTTTGCTTTTACATTTTAATTTATGGAGTAATGTTTTATTTACATTTCATTTTTGCATGTTATTGAATTATAATTCTTGTTTAATGAAGATATGCAAGACAATATGGATATCATTGTGGATAGTGGATCGAGCCACACCATTCTAAAAGACAAGAATTACTTCATAAATTTAGTAATCAAAACCGCAAACATTAGCACTATAGCGGGTAGTTCGAGCCTAATAGAGGGCCATGGCCAAGCTAATGTGTTGTTATCAAATGGCACATATCTAGACATCTCTGATGCCTTATACTCACCCAGTTCTAAGAGAAACCTATTGAGTTTCAAAGACATAAGATTGAATGGTTTCCATATCGAAACTCAAGGTGAAGGGAACAAAGAGTTTTTAATTATCACTAAAATGATAAATGGCCATAAAAAAGTTTTTGAAACTATACCCGCCGTATCTACTAGCATTTACCATGCTAAAGTCAGTATGATTGAGGCTAATGCTGCTATCAAAGCACGGTTTTTAGATTACACTATTTGGCATGATCGCCTGGGTCATCTCGGTGCGAACATGATGCGTAAATTAGTCCAGAATTCTAAAGGGCACAGCCTTAAACCAAATGGTATTTTCCCTCAGCACCTCAAGTGCACAGCTTGCTCACAAGGGAAACTGATTACCCGACCTTCACCAGTCAAAGTGTCTAAAGAGACCTTGAACTTTCTGGAAAGATTCCAAGGAGACATATGTGGACCAATTCACCCACCTTGTGGGACATTCAGATATTTCATGGTCCTCATTGACGCATCGACCCGCTGGTCGCATGTCTGTCTGCTCTCTTCTAGGAACCAGGCTTTTGCTAGGTTATTGGCCCAAATCATCAGATTATGAGCCCATTTTCCAGACTTCCCATTAAAGATTATACGTCTTGATAATGCTGGTGAATTCACTTCCCAAGCGTTTAATGAATATTGTATGTCCATGGGGGTAAGTGTTGAACATCCCGTTCCACATGTCCATACACAAAATGGATTAGCTGAATCCTTCATTAAACGAATTCAATGGGTTGCTAGACCATTACTCATGAGGTCACAACTCCCGGTCTCAGCTTGGGGACACGCAGTCTTACATGCCGCTGAACTAATACGCATACGACCATCTAGTGAGCACAAATATTCACCATCCCAATTGCTAACGGGTCATGAGCCAGACGTCTCCCATATTAAAACATTTGGGTGTTCAGTCTATGTACCCATTGCACCACCACAGAGGACTAAAATGGGACCTCAAAGGAGGATGGGAATATATGTTGGTTTTGATTCTCCCACCATCATAAAATATCTCGAGCCAACTACAGGAGATCTGTTTAAAGCCAGATATGCAGATTGCCGATTTGATGAATCGGTATATCCTAGACTAGGTGGTGAGACAGACAAGCTGGTAAAAGAACTTTCATGGAATCAAACATCCACACAATGGCAAGATCCTCGGACTCTAGAATGTGATTTAGAGGTCCAAAGAATTATACATTTACAAAAGCTAGCTAATCAATTGCCAGATTCCTTTGCTGACCCGAACAAAGTTACCAAATCGTACATACCAGCTTGTAATGCACCAGTACGAATAGATGTCCCCTTAGGGAAAAGTCAAGTTGCTACAGAGTCTGACGCACGTAAGAAACGTGGCAGACCACCAGGTTCCAAAGATAAGAATTCCCGGAAATCAAAGAAAGGTGCAATGATTGAAACCGGGATTCAAGAGAACACGGATACAGCCTCAGCTGATACTTACCCTATCGAACCATCTCAAGAGGTTTGGGACGCCAAAACTCAAGGTTCTGAAGGGATTGATAATAATGAGATCTCAATCAATTATATCATATTCGGTTCTCTATGGAACAGAAAAGATGTCGACATCAATGAAACTTTTGCATACAAGGTAGCACTTGAGATTGCGCACACGCAAGAGGATCTAGAACCCACGTCTATAATTGAGTGCACTCGTAGATCAGATTGGCTGAAATGGAAAGAAGCCATAAACGTGGAGTTGAATAGTTTAAAGAAACGGAATGTGTTTGGTCCGACCTTAAGGACACCATTCGATGTTAAACCAGTGGGAAACAAATGGGTCTTTGTGCGTAAAAGAAACGAACTCGGCGAAGTCGTTAGATACAAGGCACGCCTTGTAGCACAAGGATTCTCACAGAGACCCGGAATCGATTATGAGGAGACTTATTCTCCAGTGGTGGATGCAACTACATTTCGATTCCTCATAAGTCTGACCATAAGAGAAAACATAGATTTGCGGTTAATGGATGTTGTAACCGCATATCTTTATGGACCACTGGACAGTGAAATCTATATGAGATTACCAGATGGTATTGAGCTCAAAGATAAGCATGCATCTCGTGATAAACACTTCATTAGGCTGAACAAATCCTTATATGGACTGAAACAAAGCGGACGTATGTGGTATAACCGGTTAAGCGAATATCTCATCAGAGAAGGCTACGAAAACGATCCGATCAGTCCATGCATCTTCATCAGAAAATATCAAAACAAAGGATTTGTAATCATAGCAGTATACGTGGATGACTTGAACATCCTCGGAACATCTGGTGAAATCGCCCAAACAGTTGAATGCTTAAAAGCAGAGTTTGAAATGAAAGACCTAGGCAAAACTAAATTCTGTTTGGGATTACAACTTGAGTACGTCAATGACGGAATCCTTGTGCATCAATTGGCATACACTGAAAAGGTACTCAAGAGATTCAATATGGACCAGGCCCACCCATTGACCAGCCCAATGGTTGTGAGGAGCCTTGGATTGGATAGTGATCCATTCGGTCCAAAGAAGGACGATGAAGAAATCCTCGGTCCTGAAATGCCATACCTCAGTGCCATAGGAGCATTAATGTACTTGGCTAGTCACACTAGACCAGACATCTGCTTTGCCGTGAGCCTCTTAGCTCGCTTTAGTTCGTGTCCAACTCAAAGGCACTGGAACGGTAAGCACATCCTTAGATACCTTCAAGGTACTAAGGACTTGGGATTATTTTATTCTAACCATAACAAGGATGGTCTAGTTGGTTTTGCTGATGCAGGATATTTGTCAGATCCGCACTGTGCCCGGTCTCAAACCGGTTATGTTTTCACGCATGGAGGAACAGCCATATCTTGGAGATCCATGAAGCAGACTATTGCCGCTACCTCATCCAACCATGCGGAAATCTTGGCCATCCACGAAGCTAGTAGAGAGTGTGTTTGGTTGCGGTCCATGACTCAGCATATCCGATCAGAGTGTGGTATGGACGAAGATAAGGAGCCTACGGTGATGTATGACGACAATGCAGCTTGTATCGCTCAACTCAAGGACGGCTACATCAAAGGTGACCGGACGAAGCATATTCTGCCCAAATTCTTCTTCACTCATGAGCTGCAGAAGGATGGTCAGGTCAAGGTTCAGCAAGTCCGATCAAGCGAAAATTCAGCCGATCTATTCACTAAATCATTACCGACTTCTACACTCCGGAAGCTCATTCATCAGATAGGAATGCGTAGACTTAGAGATCTACAGTGATGCCTAAACCAGGGGTAGTAATGCGTGTTGTACTCTTTTTCCTTCACCATGGTTTTTCCCACTGGGTTTTCCTGGTAAGGTTTTAATGAGGCAACGTTCTCCAGCGCATTATAGAGATCCCGGTTTTGTGACAGGCACGGTTACCTTGTCCAAGGGGAGTGTTATAAACAAATTGACTTCTAGTAACCGGCCCATTAACCATCAGGTTAATGTCTCATGGCCCATTAGGGTTTCTGATACATTAGTTATGTAATGTATATATACATTGCTTATGGATATAATAAGATCCGAGTTTTTTTCTCTTTGTTATTTTTTGTTTTACAAATTTAATTAAAATATAGGAAAATTTAAAAATAACACATTATTACTACAATAACGATTATGTTTATTATTTCCATAACAAGAAAAAGGAGTCTACAAATTTCTAATAACTCAAAGTTTAATTTCCTGTTTTCCGGAATGAATAATACAAAAAAAAATGGTCTTTTTTTTTTTTCACTAACCCTGTAACACTACCTATTTTTTTTATATTTACATCCATCAACCACCAAACCCAATACTGATTACAAAGTACTTAAAAAAATTAAAAGGTATTATCATTTCAAGAAAAAAAAAACTATGTCCTAAGCTGATTCAACAAGAAGTTCAGAAACTTCACTAGATTCAGACCAAAGCTTTTGATTAAACGCCATTTGAAGATCATCAGATATAAACTGCGTACGACAAAGTGGACACGTCATCTGATTATAATCCATCATCCAACGGTCCAAACATCTTCTATGGAATATATGCCTGCAATTCGTCAGCCGTCGGATCTCATCGTCGTTTTCAAAATCGTAGAGACACACTGCACAACATTCGGATTCGGGTCGGTTTAGATCCGAGAATCGAACAACGGGCAAGATCTCTCCGGCTAGCATCGCTGCTGAGTACAAGTTAGAGTCTTGGTGGCTTAAGGTGGTGTAGTTTGGTGGTGGGTCGGGCCATGAAGATGAAACCGGGTCGGGTTCTAAGAAATCGGGTAGACCAATGAACCAGAAAATTATGGAGATTAGTTTTCGGATCAGACCTAAGAAAGAGAGTAAATGAAGGAAGATTTTTGGGAGAAGGAGCTCAGAGTAGCCCACCGGAAAACCCATTGCCTCGCCGTTAGAGAGATAAAACTGTGAGAGAGAGAGAGAGAGAGAGAGAGAGAGAGAGAGTTATGGTTTGTGATGAAAAGATGGAGGAGGGAGGGATTTATATATAGTTGGTGTGTATGTATATATTAGATGTGATTAGTTAATTAATTAATGCTTTGTTAATTACTTAATTTAATGTCAATAATGTAGCGTGTTTTTCTTAGGTATTTGATTGTTTTGCTTGACGAAGGATATAGCGAGGAATGTGGTGATGATGTTTCTTTAGGTGTGAGGCTAATTGACTTCCTTTAGTTCGTAATTAATTATTTTTAAAATCTTAATTTTATTCTTCTGCATGTCAAATTTTTTTTATATAATTTTGTGATGTACATATGTATATGTCAAAATCTTAATACATATGTATTTTTAAAAACATTAGGTCTAAGTTTCTATTTTAATTATAATTTTATCTTTTAATGCTTTACGGTTAAATTTAATTATCATGTGTTAAATTGACATCTATGTAACTAAAAACGACGTTAAACTAAGTCTCCATGAAAGAGATATGAACATTATATTAGTGTATGTTGTTTCAGTCTGCCGCTTAACACTACGAATTTATGCTTGCTTAATTATAAACAAACTAGCTACTCAGATTCGTGATAAAGTAAAACCTTTTACAGATTATGATATGTTAACATTTAAGCCCCAAAATGATGAAATGTTCAGAAAATAAAATTTGAGAGTATAAATGGTTCTTCATATCCAATATATACTACCTACTTTCTCAAAAAAGAAATAAAAAACCAATATAATACGTTTTGACAATGATCTATTTGTCTAATATGTTTTTACTGAAACATAATGTATTATCTAAATTAAAAATAAATTTTCGCAGTTATGATGTTTGAAAATGTTACAAAATCTCCATATACATATCTATTATATTAAAACAGAAGCATATTTAGTAGTTGCATCCAAACACTCCCAAATTTTTTTTATAATATTTTATTTTATTTTTATATTTAATTTCCAAAAATTAGTTATTAATTCAGATATTTTTAGATTTCCTAAAATCTAAGTTATCTTTAATTTAAATTTCAAATTATTAGAAATTTAATTAAATTTAGTTACAAAAATTTGCATTCAATTTAATTTAAATTCAAAAAAAAACTATAATTAAATTTTATTACGAAAATTTAGATAATAATTTGAATACTTTAAAATTTCTTAAATACAGGAAAGATTTAATTTAAAATTTAAAATTTAAATAATATTTTTATAAAAATGCATAGTAAATAAATATTTTATCGTATTTTATCATAAATAATCAGTCTAAAATATCAAATATTTGAGATTAATAAATATTTATATTATACAATAATATGATCGAGCTAATTAGAGTTATATATATATATATATTTAAGGTCTATGAGATAATTTATTAAAACATGTACGATATTAAGATGCTTTGAAACAATTAAACTAACAGGTTAGCCCATTTATATATATATATATATATATACTTTTTTTTAATAGCACAAATAGTAAAGAAATATCTTATTATATTTTTTCATAATTAATTGGTCCAAATATTCTATATTAGTAAATATTTATAGGGTTATACAATTATAATTATAATCTTATACGGGTTAGTTTTTTTTTTGACATCGTACAGGTTAGTTTGTCAAAACATGTAAGATATCAAAAATGATTTAAGACAACTAAACGGATGGATTAGTTCATAGATATATAGATTGTTTATGTGTAAATCAAAATTCACATAATAACAAAGTTTATAATTAACATTAGATTAATGTATACTTAATTAACGTATACTCTTATTCTACTAATATACAAATTTTACTGTTTAAAATTAAAATATCACAATAATTTTTTGATTTGAAAAAATAAATAACAAAAATAAATTATATCTAAACAAAAAAGATAAATGCAACTTATATTAGAAATAAAAAAAAATAAAATATTCTCGTGCGGACGCACGGGGTTAAAATCTAGTGCATGTTAAGATGGAATGCATATGATTTTGTTAACAAAGCGTGTAACAAATTATGGAATATAACCAAAAAAAACTAGTTGTGGACAAAATAATATCTAAACAGAAAAAAAAAAACTCAAAGAAATCTGATCAAATTGCAAAAATAGAAGAATGGAGCTAATCTTTTGGCGCGTAACTACTGAAATTAGGCTAGTTTTGAATGTTCTTTCTAGAGAATTATTAATGTGTTAATTGTAAATCCGGATGCACGACAAATATTTGAGGTAAAGGAAAATCGTTAGGTTATTTTCATTCCAATTTGTCTACCCCTCTATTGGATTATGCTATAGTGTATATATGCATAATGAAATCTATTGACTTATTATTTTGACCTGAATGAACTCCGTACGTAGAAAAGTCTTTATAGCTCTTCAAGTTCAATTTTGTTTCGTTTCTTCAAATATTCTTCTAGAATACAATAGTAATTAACCAATGAACCAATAATATTTGGGGATCTAATTCTAGAGAGGGAGAGTTATATGGAAATCTGACTAAAATGTAGCCAAAGCAATACTGACCCACCTCACACCCTCTCCATCTGCTCCTCCAGCATTTCACATTTTTACATTTAACACTTTTTTTTCTTGCAGTGTTGCAGTTATATACATTAACATATATTTGTATATATATATATCATATTTCTGTGAAGTATATATATATTATATATATATGTCAGTTTGTTTATGCATTATGTGACTTGGCCGATATTTCATTAGATAAGATTTCCCAGTTAATTGGATTCATGTGTTTAATCCAATAGATTTGTTTGTCAAAATATATAAAATTTGCTTTGGCAAACTTGAAATAGTCACATGGTAAAAGGTGTTAGAGTACAAAAATCGTCAGGCTATTGGTCTCCCACGTACGTTTAAGTAGGTCAAGTTTACCACATTCATGTATAATTGTATATACATAATACATATATATAGAGAGAAAAGGGATTAGGGACTAATTAAATAGTCTCTAATATATTTCACTAACTGTCAGTGTTTGGCGTTATTAGAGGTATATTAACAGATAGGCAGCTAAATCCAGCCAAGATTAATCCCTTTTGTCTGGACAATTAATCTAACAACGAAATCAGTTTAAGAAATTTGAGGAAAAAATAATTAAGATATGAGAGGAGTATTGTATTTTTAATCCATATGAGTAACTTAAATTTAAAGAGCAATGTTCAAACAAGTAGTTTAGCCAGATTTCACCCGTGACAATCACATCTAAACATGTGGATTTAAACATAAATAAAGGTTCAATGATCTCTAGACTCTATTGAGTACTATATATATATATGCCGATTACAAGTTTGATCATTATTTGAATATTCAATATATAATTCATTTGATTAGTGTATTGCTTAAGTACATATTGTCTAAAAAGTAATTTAGACGCTTTTCAACCGTGGCAATTACAGTCGAAAAAGGCAGTTTAAGCGTAAATAAAGATTCAACGGTCTCTAGTGTATGTGATCCATGTGTTTTATCAGTTGATTTACAACTTTGATTATTAGTAGCATGCGAGTTATCAGCTAGTGATCTACTCTTGTAGATAGGATTATGAAAACCTTAACTTTTCGTATGCATGGTTTGTAAACTAATACTAATCAATCGAATTATTGATTCTTAAATCTAAAATAGTGAATCACAATAGAGAGATTACAGTAATTATCTTTGGGTTGAACAAAGAGTATAGATTGCTTTTGTAAAATGTTAAGATATGATATCCATTGTTGTATTGTTTACAAATATAAGTTAATTTAGTATATACATATAATAAAGTACTTGTATAATTGTATTGGTTGTACGGAAATTACTGTAGTGGCAACATGCTTTGCTTTTCTTGTTCTTTGCAGAAATTGAATTATTATAAGAAACAAGTAAAGAGGTACAAGTAAACAAATATTACAAGAATTTTGCTTTAAGTTTAAAAAGCAGGGTTAAACATCTTTAACTTGAAACTTGTCTGCTAATTCAGCGAAAAACTACAAAATTCATTCCAGTTTTGCATGTCAGACATTGTCGTTTGTCAGTAAGCGATCAACTAATCACACTAATTATTTTAAACAACCAGCTAAAACCGTGTTTGTCAATTCAATACAACCCATTCCATATTTTAACCAAACTAAAACTTATTCGATTTGTAGATTATATTCTTTCTATTTCTAGTTTTAGATAGATTGAATACTCCTATATTTTTTACAGTAAAATTGAGCTCTGTGTTTTTATTTTAATCTTTATTGTAATTAATTATTTTCCAAATGTGAACAAGTCACACTATGTTAATGATTGCTGATTGGTCATGTAAACTGACTTGGACCACGTGGCTTTTTCTTCCGGAATGCCTTTTCTTTTTCCTTTTCGTTAGTAAGAAAATGAAAATATAAATTTGCTCACATTTTTCCTTTCTTTTATTGGTCGTCACATCTATACAGATATTTTACCATCCGTATTTGTCAGACCGTACACCTTGCCTATGTGGCACGCAATTTATGTTTGTGAAGGGACACTTTAATACATCTAAATTCTAACATTACTATTTATTTTTCTTTCTAATATCAGAAATTGAAAAAGACAGATTAGAAAAATACAACTGCATAACCAAGTAATATGACAAACACAGTCACCAAATAACAATTTTAAATTTGAAACTGGTTTTTATGTACTAGATTTTATTAACATGATATATATATCTTTTAATCTATCTTAATAATAAATAGTTGAAAAAAGAGAGTTACTAAAATAGTACAAAGACAGCTAATACAAGACCTGAAGCAGCGAATCTATTGTCTCTCCTTCTACCAGGCATACCAACGTGCTTTCCATTCACGTCAATCCTTTGTACTTTTTCCATTCTAATAAATATATTTTTTAAATCATGATGTCTTTTTGTTCAAATTTATATTTTTGTTATAACATAACGTAAATATTATATATATATATATATGCATATATTTAGCTGAAACAGATTTGCATCGAGGCAACTGGATAAAAGTTTATTTTGGATTGAAAAAAAAATATATAGGCTTGATTTTTTTTGGTTATTAAAAGATGCCATTGAAGAAATTTGTGTCGTTTCTCTATTAAAAAAAAATTTGTGTCGTTTATTAAAAGTTTTCTGATGTGAGATGATTTTTTTGTCAACTATCACTATAAGATATTATCTACTACTATACAGTACATATAGTATTTTGTTTTGTTTATAAGATCTTTACATATAGTTGATATAGCTAGACTTTAGTGTAATCGATTATCTTAACTGGCTATGTCTTCGCAAAGTGTCAAATTACTTTTTCATTAAACCATATTTTTATCGCCAACCAAACATGTAAATTTTAAAATATGACCTGACGAAATAATTTTTTAATCTGTAATGTTGGTTGTTAATTTCACCTGTGTCCTTTAGAAAAAGAAAAGCTCCATTTCTTGTCTTTTTCTTCACATTAGTATTTTTTATCGAATAAGATTTTATAGATCACTATCAAAACAGAAATGGTTCAAAATGATAACAGAGCTAACATGGCCAAAAAAACTCGCTGCTATATTAGCTTAGCGGCAAACATTTTAATTAACTAAAATCATGAAGGAGTTCTCTTAGCTCTACCCCATCTGTGCTAATATAACTATATAAGAAGTAAAATGATACCTTGGGAAGCAAAGAACACAATCACTGATGCAACTAGTGCAAATTTAGTCATCGGAAATTCGTCTAAAAACGCAGAGGATGCACCAACTTGCTGATCTTTGGAACAAAACAAAAATGGTAGCTAATACACCCTTTCAATCCGCACAAACAAAGGAGGTATTATATATTTTATTACTCAAACATTTGTAGTATTACATATATATTATTTATGTGGAAGTTCTAATGTTGATACTGTTTATATGTTTGTAGTATGTTGACCAAAAAAAATATGTTTGTAGTATTACATATATAGTATCTTATACATTTATACTGTTTGACCATCACTAGAATCGGCTTGACAAAACTCGATGGGGACAAGTCCTAAGAACTTCATAAACAGAGGAGGACATAAACTCTCATGGTCATGGAAGAAAAACAAGAGCCCTTTTGAAGATACATCAGTTTTTGATCTTCTATTATCAGTTTAAAAACAACGTAGTGGATGAAAACAACTGTTTGGTTTCTTACCTCTGTCAATCCGTCTTTCTCCTAAAAACTGTGCTTTAGTGTAGCAGTGCGTTGTGTAAGAAAGTGAAGCATGGGAGGGTGAGAAAGGCTTGAGAGGCGAACAAAACACATTAGTTTTTTAGAGAACTAAAATGGAAATAAGAACAATTGTTGTGAACGTCAGCAAATGAGTAAAGTAGTCGATAGATAGAAGCAAGAAGAACCTAGTCGTAGCCTAACTTTGTTTTGCTTCTCCTTCTTCTTCTTCTTCTTTCTTTAGAAAAGGCTGAAACATGTCACAAAGAATCTCATGCCTAATCACTTTCTGGGTCCATGCTTCCTCGGTTTCTTTGTCAAAGAGAGACTTCCACAAGTCCCAAATGTTAGACTTTATTGCCTCCCTCACAAACCCATTCGCCTCTGAAACATCCTTGGCACACCTAAACTTCTCCTCTACCTTCTTCAGCGCTTCTTCAATACGAGACGTGAGCTCTCGGCCTTCTACCCAGAGTCCATTTATTTCACGAATAAAACAAAGCTTGTGCAGATCTCTGATTACAGTATCAAAACTCTCCCTGATCATTTCCCATTGGAGAGATCTTTCACCAATCTGATGTACTCCATTCTTCGGTTTGATACTTCTTGAGTAGACAAAATGCATAACACGAAGCAGCCTTTGCCCCACGGGACTATCAGGTTTCAAGTCCCTTTCTACACCTTTCCATAGCTTAAAGCAGAACCGTAACATACAAGAAATGTCATCACACAGCAAGAACATCGATTCAGCCACATAAAGCGAGAGCTCAACTCCTAGTTGCACAACCTCCTCTTTCAGCTCCTACTTTGCAAAATCCCTCCTGTCCCAAAAAATAGAAAAGTCAAAAAACGAAGACGACTTTGTATGTAACTAGGGTACTTACTCTCAAAGGAGCTAAGTAATATCAACTGACCCTAGAATGTAAGGAAATATACCTCTACTACGAGATTTTTTTTTGTTTTGGTTTGGTTTTTGCAGGACGGGTTCTGGGAAGGAGGAGGTGAAACAGGAGGTTGTGCGGCTAGGAGTTGAGCTCTCACTCTCTGTAGCTGAATCTATGTTTCTGCTCTGTGATGACATTCGTACAATGTTGTGGTTCTGTTTTAAGCTTTTGAAATACACAGTACCTCCTTCTGAACCCGTGTCGGAGAGGCTGCTTCGCGTTATACATTATGTCAACTCTAAAGATATCAAACCAAAGAACAGAGTATATCAGGAAGGTGGCAACTCGGCCCAATGGGAATTCATCAAGAGCACTTTCAAGCCCGTGTATTCTCCTTACATTCTAGGGTCAGTTGATATTACTTAGCTCCTTTGAGAGTAAGTACCCTAGTTACATACAAAGTCGTCTTCGTTTTTTGACTTTTCTATTTTTTGGGACAGGAGGGATTTTGCAAAGCAGGAGCTGAAAGAGGAGGTTGTGCAACTAGGAGTTGAGCTCTCGCTGTATGTGGCTGAATCGATGTTCTTGCTGTGTGATGACATTTCTTGTATGTTACGGTTCTGCTTTAAGCTATGGAGAGATGACCTGAAACCTAGTAGTCCCTTGGGGGAACGGCTGCTTCGTGTTATGCATTATGTCTACACAGGACATATCAAACCGAGGAATGGAGTATGTCAGATTGGTGGCAAGTCGGTCCAATGGGAATTGATCAGGACGTCTTTGGAGAATTTCGGTACTGGAATCAGATATCTGCACGAGCTTATCACGATTCTTACTGTAGGAGGCTTCTTAGATGGCCGAGAGTTCACGACTCATATTGAAGACGCGCTGAAGAAGGTAGAGGAGAAGTTGAGGTGTGCCAAGGATGTTTCAGAGGCGAATGGGTTTGCGAGGGAAGCCATGAAGTCTAACATTTGGGACTTGTGGAAGTCTCTCTTTGACACAAAAACCGAGCAAGGATGGACTCAGAAAGTGATGAGAGATGAGATTCTTTATAAAATGTTTCCGGCTTTTCTGAAAGAAGAAGTAGAAGAAGAAAACAAAGCAAGATTAGGCTACTACTAGTTTCTTCTTGCTTCTATTTATAGGATCAGAGTTTCTTTTTAAATTATGTTATGGAGTTTCCCATTTTGCTGACTATTCAGAACAATTGTTATTTCGTTTCCTTTGTTGTCTTAATCAAGAAAGTCTGTGGTTGGTGTTGTTCTACATTAATTTTTGGTAATAGCTGTATATTATTACTTTTGTCTTTGCTTTTGTGTATGTAGAAAGTTTGAATCATCAGTCCAATACTAGATTGTTCATTCACATTATCCAAACGTGTTGGATTATTTGATTGATCAAATTAGTGATATAGTAACAGTTATATTAATAATTCAAGTGATTGATCAATCTATTACGGTTAGAACTCTTTGCTCTGAAAACACAACCGGGAAGCCCGAGATCACCGTCCCGTTCACTATCAACGTAAAGCATATACGTCAGGGAAACAATCCTGTATTTGATTAAGCTCGTTGATAACTTACTATATCAGGACCAATAACAAATGGCTCCCAAATCTGTGCAAGAACTTTTTTTTGTCCAATCCAAGCTGAATATATCCACAACGATAGACGATAACGATATAAAGTAATCGTTAAAAATAATCACAGAAAGTATATAATATTGTACAAACATTTTATATAGTATAAAAATGTAATTTTAAAAAAAAAAATCACAAGATTCAGACAACCACACTAAAAAATCTCGGGTTTATGGATCAGAATTAAGTCTGATTCTGGTTTTTAACTCAAAAACCGACCGGTTTCCACCTTCTCCTCCAAGAAGTTTCTTACACGTCCAACACCAAGAAGTTATCGTAGCATATTTTAAACGCCTATCAACTTAACAAAAAAAATATACTTAGGCACTAAGCGAGTTGTAGGTAATGTCTTAACTTCTTTTTCTTACTTATCTTATCGTAATCATCATCCTCTCCATCAGCGTTTTCTCCTTCTTCATCCCTTTCCTCTCTTTGCTTGTAACTCTTTAACTTCTGCAAAAACACTTAAAGAGATTAGAATACTGTTGAAATACTGTTGTACACTGTTGTCTTTTTGAAACTCGGACCTAAGCAGCAGGTTGAGCAACCGGCTGAGCAAGAGGCTGAATAACAAGTTGAGCAACAAGCTGAGTAGTGGTATGAGCATTCGCCTGATTAGCAGCATTAGCACTATCAACAAACATGAACTTGAGCACCATGAGCTGAAGAATGAGCAAACCAAGTCTGAGGAATGTTATGAAACTCAAAAGCAGATCAAGAAAAATGTTAAATAAATTTAACATTATTGTTAGTGTTGTGTTTGATCCAATATTGTTCAAAATTTGTACACCATCATTTTTGAGTTTTACTCTTTAAGACATGAAACTGCAAAACTCGTTGACCCTTGCAATCTAAGAAACAGAAGTGGTGATCAACAAGGATCTTAAGAAGTTATGAAATTGCAATTGATGTTGATTGAAGCTGACTAAAAATAAAAATGATTTTGAGCTTTGTACCAGATATATCAGACCTGTTTATTGATAAGTAGGTCTGATTTCTAAACTAATATAAACGATGAATTAAAAATCTTAAAAACATTAGTCGGAGAATTCTATAACGTTCAAAAGATTTATATTTTTCAATCGTCTATATCAGAAACTTAGAAAATACTAAACGTACTCTCATGCAAATTATATTGTCATTATCAATATGTTTTGTGGTCATATGAATAGAGTCGAATCAAGAAGATACAACACAAAGGTATAACTAACTTCTGTTAGTGTCAATTCAAATTGTTTGTCATTCTAATGCCGATAATTGGAACTCAAATTATTGACTCAAGAAAATGAAGATGTTATATGCATACATCCACAATTATATTCAAAATTTATGAAATTATTTGCCAAATGATTTACTATTGATTACATGGTTATCATAGGTAGTAAAATGTCACACCAGAGTACTATGATTGAACGACATATTTACAAACATTTTTCAGAAAAACAATAAGATAAGTTAAATGATTAAATGATCATCTATCCTTATATTGTTATTACATCCTTCTTTGGTTTATACATTGATAGTTAATGATCAAAAACTTTTCAAGTCAAGTTATATCCAATCATTATCAATCATATAATATGATTAAATCTAACAAAAAAATCGTCATCACAGTGTCGTGCCCCATTAGTCATTTGGCCCATGCTACAAACAAAATTCGTTGAAAAATTTACTCGCTTCTCGACAAGCAAAACAGTTTACTTTGTTGCCTTTCCAAATATATAATATATTTTTATCGACAAGTTACATCCTTTTTTTCGACCAAAAAAAAGTTACATCCTTTTTCTTTTATAAGAAAGTACTAATAAATTGAGAGAACAGTAATAAACAAGAACATTAAATATTTAGATATTAATGGAGGAATGATTAATTCGAGAAACAGCAAGCATCTTTGTTAGTATCAAAGCTCAATAATATCCACAGCGATAACGATAAAAACCCATGGATAAAAAAATCACAGAAAGTATAATAGAAACATTTTTATATAAGGAGTATAAAAAACGTAAAAAAAAACATATAAAAAAATCTGCACTAAATTCTAAACGTAGCGCATTTATCATTTCTGGCGCTGCCATGGCATCAATTACAATCACAAGATTCAAACAACGACACCTCAAAATCTCGGGTTTACGGGTCAAGGTTAAGTCCGTTAATTCCGGGTTTTAACCGAAAACCCGACCGGTTTTCACCTTCTCCTCTACGGTTATGCTACTTCTGCAGTGATATCATCATCACCAGTCTCTCTAGTTAAAACCCGACCCGTTTCCAGGTTTTGGATCCAAAACCGGCGACGAGGATAGCTCCGGTCATGGACTTCTCTACAGCGACGACGACGACTACTTCTACGTCTACGGCGACGAACGGTTTCAGTTCGCCGCGTGACTCTTCTTTCCCTTCGAGCTTCACTAAGTTTAACTCCGCTTTAACGGCGGGTCTTCTGAATCCGATGTCTCCTCCTCCGCCTCCGGCGATGCTCGACAAGACGCGGTCAAGTCCGACGCTATTCGAGATGATGGCTAGTGAAGCTGATACCATAGGGAGAGTTCCGGTTCAGATCCAGAACGGCGTGCTTCCGTCTTCGAATTCGTCGTCGTCGTCTTCTTCGGCGGCGGCTTTGGCTGCGAGGACGGCGAATGGGAATCATCTCGTCATTTCCGCTCAGGATAAGCAGGCGCTTGCAATGCAGCGGATTTCGGATCTTCTGTTGATTCGGAGCCCCGGGAATCAGTTTAACGACCCGACTTCGAGTGACGTCAAGCTTACTCTGAGCTCTAAGGACGGGATTAGCATCACGATGTGCGTGCACAGGCAGATTCTTGTAGCTCACAGTAGGTTTTTCGCTATGAAATTGTCGGATCGATGGTCGAAGCAGCAGCTGCCGCCTTCGTCTTCTCCGTACATTGTCGAGATCTCAGATTGTGATGACGTTGAGGTGTATATCGAGACGCTGATGCTAATGTACTCTAGGGATCCAAGGAAGAAGATGATGAGACAGGACGTGTCTAGAGTTCTTGGTATTTTGAAGGTATTGTGAGAAACATACAAAGTTTCCATTTTTTGAGCTGATTTATTTGTTTTGGTATACGAAGATTTGAGCTTTATTAGAAAAACTCGATTTTGAATGATCACTCACTGTTTCTGGAATGATTGAATCCTTTTGCAATATTTTCAATTACATTGTCTGTTTTGAATTTAAGAATTGAATAGTTCATCAGAAGTGAAAACTGCAAGCTGACGCTCAAATCTTCTGTTGTTGTTCTCTCAGGTTTCAGCAGCAATTGGATTTGATGCAGGTGTACTGTCATGTCTGGAGTACTTGGAAGCAGCACCATGGTCTGAGGATGAAGAATACAGGATTGCTTCATTGTTGTCTGAGCTACACCTTGAAAACGTTGGGGCAACAGAGGTTCTGAGAAGGGTTTCTGTAGAAGCTAGCAGTGGTAACAGTACAAGTAATGGTGGCAGCAACGATGAGGTGCTTCTAAATCTTTTGCATATAGTTCTTGAGGGCAAAGACGAGAAAGCGAGGCGTGACATGAAAACCCTTGTTTCCAAAATGCTTAGAGAGAACTCGTCTGGAAATGATCTTAGGAAAGAGTCGTTGTACTTGGCTTGTGACGGGTGTTTGCATAAGCTTAAGCGGCAGTTTCTACAAGCAGCAGAGTCTGATTTGGAGAATGTAGATCAGATAGCAAGACAAGCGGATAATCTGCATTGGATTTTGGACATTTTGATAGATAGACAGATCGCAGAGGATTTTCTGGTGATGTGGGCTTCTCTTTCTGAGCTATCACAGGTGCATGCTAAGGTTCCCGTGGTTCACAGGTTTGAGATTAGTAGAGTAACAGCAAGGATCTTTGTTGGTATTGGAAAGGGGCAAATTCTGACACCAAAGGAAGTGAGGTGTTTGTTGCTGAGGAACTGGTTGACACCTTTCTATGATGATTTTGCGTGGATGAAGAGAGCGTCAAAAGGGCTTGATCGGTATCTAATCGAGGATGGTTTAAGCAGTACCATTCTCACTCTACCTCTTGCCTGGCAACAAGAGTTCTTCCTAGCTTGGTTTGATCGGTTCCTGAATTCGAATGAAGACTGTCCCAATATGCAGAGAGGCTTTGAAGTTTGGTGGAGACGGGCGTTCTGGAGAAGGAAAGAACAGAGTCAAGAGCCTGCTCGGCTAAGAATCATAGCTTCAGCCACTGAAAACGCTTGAGAGATCATTCAGGTTTGCTTAACCACTGTGTTTGCTTTCTGGCAAGAGGATCACACGATGAGGAGGAAGATGAATGTAAACCGAAAAGAGAAGGTAATGTGAGATCTTGGACTCGAGATTGGCAATGATGATTGGAGTTATGTAAGCTTTATCGGATTTTAATACCTCGATCTTGGTTAGAATTAGTTTGATACAGGTTTTGCATGAACTTGATCGTTGGAAGTAGTTTTCATTTTGATGAGACGGAGCTCGTTTTGTACATCTCTCTGAACCCATTTTAATCTCCAATTTCTCTACTTTTGGTACGGTTTTGATTCTGATTCTCATCCGGTCGGTTTAGCACGCCATATAAGTTTTTTGGTCTTCGTGCCATAACCAAAGATGCATGAAGTGCAGACACGGTTAATAATCTTTTGAGATTGTAATATAGGTAGATGATTGTCAACCGATTCATGATTCAGTCAATATACATAGTCACCAACAACAATCACTTGAGCAAGCTCATAACAAAAAAAATAATCCAAAAACAAACAATCTAATGAATGAGTTTCAAACTTGAACGTTACAAACATCATCAAGTATTGGATCACCTGACTAGTGAAGGGCCTGAAGGCATATGTTGTCCTTAATATGTTGTCCTTAATAAGTTATCTTACAACGAATTAAATGTTAATACCTTTCACCTCTGGCTATTTCTTTTCCACTCAGCTGGCTGTTCCAGTCTTAAGCTGCTAACTTTCAGAACTCAATACGATCTCAACCAATTGAATGTTGCCACTGAGTACAGATGCCTTACGAGATGGCAAGAATGAGAAGCCATCCAGAAGTTTAACGCACTTTAGACCCCATTTCACCATCAGGAACTCGATTAGATGATGCCCACTGCAAAAATCAGTTCTGGAAATATGAAATACCGGAAAATTCCGCCATCCTAATCTTCTGCAGATATGTTAGATGACCAAGAGAAATGAGAGAACAAGAGTTGTGTACCTCCTGTTATGATATGTAGTGATAAAAACAGCACCAGGAGAACTTTGAAGCAGAAACGAGACGGTGGCAAAGAGATCATCAAACGCTATACAAAACCAAGGTTCGAATTCACATTTCAACTCATGGTAAGAATAAACTAGGATAAGTCCGGACTCTACAGTGCAAAAATAGAATGCCAAGACAAAGAAAACAGATGAACTAACCACTTGAATCATATAAAACATCAGCCCCAAGTATAAAGTTAGGCCGCAAGTCAAATATGGATGCATCCCACACTCCCCAAGTGAGACCCAGTACCTGCAATAGACAACCACAAGTAACTTATAGTAGGAAACTTTCCGGAGTGAGCTAAAGGGCTCATGTAAATGGTAATCCAAACCCAACAAACACCATGCAACAAATATATTGCAGACACAAACACATAAATGCAACAAATGATGATCCGAGTAACTGATAATTTAGCGGGTGTTGAAATTGAGAAATGTGAAAAATGGTATACATTACATTACAGCTCAGCTTGTTCAGCTCACAAACTCTTCTCATATTCTCCAAAACCTGTTCATGTATGGTCAAAATAACCAGTGAACTCATAAAACCTGAGCCAAATGAAAAAAAGCTTATCAACATATTCTCATACCTCTGGTTTACTTGAATCATCAGTAAGGGTGACATTAGCCCCAACCTTTGCAGCTACTAAACCAGGCAAGGAAGTGCCAGCTCCTAGCTGCAAATTACATCAACACAGGTCTAAGAAAAAAAGCATTAAGTCAAAAACATTTTTAAGATCTACCCAAAAGACAATCAACCTGATTCATTAGCTCAAACACAGAACACAATCATACATATCCCAGTTCTGTAATCAGTAAAATTACACATTTTTCGCAATCTTTGTTCAAGATTTGAATTGAGCCGCTATGATCAAAATCAAGAGCAAGCAGGACTCATTGCTTACCTCGAGAATCGCAGACTCACGAAATCGAGATCTCTGTTGCCAGACATACTCAGCGAGGATAACGCTACATGGCCAAACAAACAAACCGTACTCTTCCTTCATATTCTACACACATTAAAAAAAAAAAAATCACAAACGAACGATGAAAACGAAACCCGAAAGAAGAAGCTCGATTAGGAATCGCCATTGTTCACTAGTGAGAGCTTAATACCTCAATAATAGAGATAGAAATGGAAGTTTCCGAATCTTCATCACCATTAAAGTCATGCTGAGAAATCGTCGTCGTTGTAGCAGTCATACTCGGAATTTGAAAATTTCTCCGGCAAGAGAGAGCTAATTAGGGTTGTTTTAGTTAGCGAAGAAGAAAATGAAAGTGTCCCACATCGGTTAAGTAGTTGGGTGAAGTGATTAGTTGGCTATAAAATGATTAGAGTTGGTTTTGATTTTAAATATGATCCTTCAGGCAAGTTAAAGAGGAAATGAGGAGTGGTTAATTACTCGCTTATTTAAATATGCGAGAAGAGCGTTTCGCTCAGCCTGTTACGACAACTGAGCGCTCTCCTTCTTTTACAATCTGATCCCTCTTCTGAGTTATAACTTTTTCAAAAGTAAAAGGTTTTTTTTTTTCACCCAATTGTAAATTTTTTCAAAACTGGTATTTTTTTTTTTTTTTATCGTCAATTTATCATATAACATTAATAACGGTTACAACTGCCATGATACAATATAGTTTGAGTTTTGCTCCCTAGCTAATTTTGCTATACAATCTGCTTCAGCTACCATACTTCTTTTTACATGCATAAAAGTTAATTTACATCTATCAACAGATAAAGCAGCAATGTCTTTAACATAAGTAGCTATCAATGAGTTAATCCATCTTGTAGCTGCCTTTTGATGTCCGGCAATCTTCTGAAGATCATCAAATAACACTTTACAATCTCCGATCATAAGGACATCATGATAGCCAAGCTTACGAAGTTCCCTCACAGCCATTAGTAAGGCAATTGCTTCTGCTTCTAAGGGAGTAGATGTAGGATCAATGGACGCTTTACCTTGAACTATACATCGACCAGAAGGGTTAAATAATAACCATCCTATTCCTGCTGGATTATCCGACGACGTCCATGAGGCATCAACCATACAACAATCAACCATACAACAATGCTTATGGAAAGATCTACAAATATCAAACACATTTCTATAAGCATTATTGCTTTCTGGTAAACAAGGTGCAGAAGGAGTATCTTCAAACCAGATTTTGGAATCCTCCCATAATCTCTTATCAATGAGAGCTTTATTTATAACCTGCGGAATGAAGTTTTGTATGTTCTTAAATACCAGAGTATTGCGCATTTTCCATATCCGCCATCCAATAAATGCAAAGAGAGTATCTGCATTACCTTGTATCCCTGCTCGACTAATGAGAGCTGAGAGGTTTTGCAGTAAATTGCTGGACCGAAAATCATCATTTGAAGGAGTATGAAAGGGCGCTAGATCCCAAATTTCCTTGGATATTCTGCATTGGAAAAATAAGTGATTTAACGTTTCATCAGCTTCACCGCATAAGGAACATTGCGGATCAATTCGACACCCTCTTCTTATTAAAGCATTTGCTACAGGAAGACTATTATGTGCTACTCTCCACTAGAAGAGTTTTAATTTAGGTGGAATCTTTAACTTCCAAATGGATTTGAAAAGCATCCGTGATGAATGATCCATGCCATTATTTGGATTTACAGAGTCCGTATCATCAGTCAAGAGATTCCTTTGCACATAATAGCCTGATTTAACAGTGTACTCTCCATTAGCAGAAAAAATCCAGGCCAAATGGTCACTTACATTGGTTATACTAGGCCGAATATATTTGATTTGTGGGATATCCTCAGGCCTAATATTTTGCTGCAGCTTTTGGTGGTCCCAATCTCTTGTACCTGGAGCAATTAAATCGTGAACTACTAAGAAGGGATTAGCGTGTGTACCTGGTCCATTTGCTGGTCGAGGAGGCTGAGTTGGAAGCCAATTATCAGACCAAACATTGATTTTTTTTCCATCTCCAACTCTCAAACAAGTTCCTCTTTTAAGTAGCTCTTGAGTTTGTATGATACTTCTCCAGGCATTACTTGAATATTGGTTACTCCGAGCCTGTAGAAAAGATGATTTGTAAAAATACTTTGCTTTATATACCTGCGCCAGCAAGGTATTTGGAGAAGACATAATTCTCCATCCTTGTTTTGCGAGAAGTGCTTTGTTAAAATCTTTAAGATCTCTAATTCCAAGGCCTCTTTGCTCTTTAGTCGCTGTTATCTTGCTCCATGCTATCCAGGGAATTTTTTTCTTATTAGGATCTGAAGACCACCAGAATCTGCTAATAGCAGAAGTTAAATTTTTGATAATCCTCATGGGCAGCATAAAACAAGACATTGTATAAGTAGGAAGTGCTGTAGCGACTGCTTTAATAAGGACTTCTTTACCAGCCTGTGAAAGAAATTTTGTATACCAATTCTCTAGTTTGTGCTGCATCCTTTGAGCAAGGTATGAAAAAGAGTCAAATCTGTTACGCCCTATCTGCTCTGGTAATCCCAGATACCTACCAAGACCTCCTATTCTTTGAATATTCATAAGATGCATAATAAAGATTGAATTAAATTGGAAGTACCTTTACTAAATGTGATGGCCAATTTTTGATAATTTATCTCTTGACCTGAAGCTTGCTGGTCGGTTTTTAGAATGCTTAGCAAAGCCTGACACTCATTCACTGTGGCTTTACAAAATAGAAGAGAATCATCAGCAAATAAGAGATGGGTAATAGAAGGTCCACTACGAGAAGCCTTAAAGCCATGTATCTGTTTTTTAGCAGCCCAAGTATTAATTAATCTAGATAGCCCTTCAGTGCATATCAGGTAAAGAGGGAGAAATGGGATCACCTTGGCGTATTCCACGGTGAGGGAGAATAGTTTTCGTAGGACAGCCATTGATAAGAACTGAATACGTAACCGTAGTTACACATTTCATAATCCAGCTTCTCCATAGATCGCTGAATCCCATCTGTTTCATTACCAAATCAAGAAAAGACCATTCAACTTTATCAAATGCCTTGGAGATATCCAGTTTAACAGCCATGAACTTATTGGTTAATTTCTTTGTATGCAAAGAATGTAAAAGTTCATGAGCTATAAGAACATTATCTGTTATGAGTCTTCCTGGTATGAAAGCCGATTGATTCTCTGATATGATCTGAGATAACCAAGGTTTAAGCCTTTCTGCTAGTATTTTCGAGATGATTTTGTAGGCAACGTTGGTGAGACTAATCGGCCTGTAATCTTTCATTGTAGAAGGTGACTCAATTTTAGGGATTAAACAAATGTGTGTGTGATTCATATCTGACTCTAGATAACCTTGCTCAAAGAAAAGCTTCACATAGTTTATAACTCCTGATTTAATTATATTCCAATGATATCTAAAGAAACCTGCATTTAGTCCATCAGGGCCTGAAGACTTTTCTGGGTTGATGGAGAAGACTGCTCTTTTAATCTCTTCTTCTGCAACAGGTTTAGTAAGCTCTTGGTTAATCTCATCAGTAATAGTGGTAGGGATACCATTTAAAAGCTCAGGAGCAACATAGCAAGAATTGGATGTAAAGAGTTGTTGGAAATACTTAACTGCTGCAGCATGAATTGTTTTTTGCTCGGTAAACTGATTTCCAGCCTCATCTGCTAAGGAAACAATTCTGTTGTAGCTTCTTCTTTGCTTGGTTTTGGCATGATAGAATTTTGTGTTTCTATCCCCTGCTTGAAGCCTTTGTATTCTGCTCTTTGTTTTCCAATATTCTTCTTCCAACCTATATTCAAGATGAAGCTTAGATTTTAAGGCACCAATATAAGAGTAATCAAGTATCGGGGAATCATAAGCCTCATGTAATTTTTGTTTGAGCTCATAAATAATTTTTTGAGAGTTTTGGTTATTTTGGTGTTTCCAATCAGCTAATGCACTCTTGCAGATACGAAGAGCTTTAGTAAACCTGTGAGCCGATATATGACATCCTTGACGGTTCCATGTTTCTTGAACAACTCGGTGAACCGCTGCATTGTTACGCCATCTATTATCATATTAAAAAAACCCACAATGCTTCCATTTACCTGGATCAGTATGAAGTAGTAGGGGTCGGTGATCAGATCCGATCCAAGGTAACAGTTGAATATAAGCTTTGGGAAACATGTCAGACCATTCACAATTTGCCAAAGCTCTATCAATTTTGGACTTGATAGAGTAATTACGTCTGTTACCTGTCCACTCCGGTATTTATTTTCATCTTTAGTTGGTTCGTTTTAATTTACATTTTTAGCTGGTTGGTTTTTATTTTCAATTAAATTTAGTAAGAGAATATTACTTGGGAGAGATACTTTTTCAAAGTTATATGTCCAAAAAAGATAATTTTTGAAAATTGGACACTTATTTTACTTTGCTCCAATTTTTTGATTTTTTTTTTGCCATTCATTTCCTTTTACCTTCTAATTTTTTTTGAAAAAAATATTAAAAGATACGGGATCCACTTAACTTTATTATTTATCAACTTCCACACACTAAATCATACGGAACCCACCTTAACTCATTTGATTCTACACACTAAATCGCACAGAACCCACATATATATATATGCAACCATATAAATACACATGTAAATATGCATATATATATATTTATATAATTACATCCATCTATACTATATGCACGTAAATATGCATATATATCTATATAGTTGTGTCTATATGTATGCAACTATATGGATACACGTGTAAATATACATGTGCATCTATATAGTTACATCCATCTATACTCTATGTACGTAGATATGCATATATATATATATATAATTGCATCGATATCTATATATTTGTGTCCACATGTACACTACTATATAGATATGTATATGTATGTATATATATATATATATCTATATAATTGCATAGATATCCATATACTTGTGTCCACGTGTACGCTACTATATGGATTTATTATTAAACGATAAAATAATTTAGATTAAAAAATATAAAATGGATATCAAAGTATTAAGAAAAAAATATAATTTATAGTGTCAAAATAATTATTCGATTATTTTAAATAATAGATAAATAACAACAAACAATTATGGGGATGTGTGATATTAATATAATATTAAATAAATAAAAAATATAGATAAGTAATTGTGTTTTAATGAAATATGTTTTTAGTCATTTTTAATGCTTAAATAGTAGAAAAATATTTTTTTGGTAATACAAACACAAAAGTACTTGTTTTGGACATTATAAACTCAAAAGTGACTCACATGGTAACACATTCGTTTAGTAATGCTACTATTGATTTTTGAAAATTTTGAAATACAAACTGGTCATTCCTTCTTTTTTTATTACAAATCCTATTTTAGAAGTTTGGGTTGATTGTTATATATTTGGGATTTTTGGTTCTAACAATATTAACTGAAACAAGTTTGAGTTGGCATAGTTTATGTGATGATTTTTTTCGGGTTAAGATTTGGGTTTGCTGTCTTTTCGTAAGAAAAAGCTGATGCTAAACTATGGATTGAAAAATAAAAAAATAAAAGTTTTGAGCTATCTTAACTGAAATAAAAGTTTACTCTATGAAACTCTGGTCTTGGACGTTGAACAAATCAGGACCACCGCAAGTAAGAGCCAGCCCCGGTCTAATAAATTTTTAAGCTCCTAGACAAAAAAAAAAATTTTGGCCCTCTTAATTGATTTTATACACAAAAAATTTAAATTTTATTTATATAAAATTTTATTTTTTGGGCCTTTATATAAATATTTTTTTTTCGAAAAAACCTTAAATTCTACTAACTATTGTATTATCTGAAGAATTAAGTATATCTAGACAAAATTATAGCAAACAACAGTATTGCAAGAGTATAATTTTGTCTAGATATACTTAGTTCTTCTGAGATGGATCTAGTAAATTTTCATGTTATTTTTTCGGTTTTTTAACAATGCAAACAACAGTATTACAAGAGTATGATATATGCGATTAGATTTTGTTTCAATTTTTTTAACCTACTTTTAAGGGTATTGCAACTCTTGATTTAGGTAAATTTTTTTTCCAGACTCATGTTGCCCATGATATATATGTTGATTGTATCCATGGAATGAACTTTCATTCGGTAGTCAATGTATAGCAATAGCAATTTTTGTACAGTTCATGAAACTGTGCCTCACAAATTTCTTTCTTTTGACCAACTAGACCTTAACTTCAATAGTTTCAACGGTATGGAGTTTTCACTGTTTAATGTTGATAAATCTGATTTTTAAGAGGATTATGATAGTAAGAGATTTTTTTTTAGGCTCATGTGGCCCATGATATACATGTTGATTGTATCCATAGCATGAACATTTCTCTGGTAGTCAATGTACAGTAACTCAGTAAGAACAATTTTTGTACAGTTCAAGAAATTGTGCCTCACAAATTTGTTTATTTGGAGCAGTTAGACCTTAACTTCAATACTATCAACAGCATGGACTTTCACTGCTCAATGTAAATGAATTTGATTTTTAAGAGTATGATGAAAAGAAGAGATTGTGTATGACCTTGAGCAGCCACCGGCCCACCGCTTCAAATTCTTTGGGACATTCATGACATTGATTTTCAGAATGAATAAGATATTGAATAAGACTTGAGGTCTAGAGAATCAAGGAGATGAAGATGATGAAAATTAGGATGAATCTAGAGAACCTAGAAAATCAAGACCAACCTGAAAACCTGCCACACAAAGGTTTATAATTCCTACTACTAAAGTAGGTCACGCCATTTGTATTGGGTTTCTTATTGATGTTATCATCCTTTATTTTTATGTGTTGTAGCTGCTCTAAAGCTTAGTAACATCTTTGTCTGAAGGAACATCTTCAAAGAAGTTTGGGTGAACTAGATGCTCCAAGCTTAGAACTGGCAACAAAGTCTTATGTAGAAGTGGTATTGTGTTGGTATTGTAGAGACATTTGTCTTGGAAAAATACTACTTTTTCATTATTTTTTTTGTGGAATCTTCGTTTTGTAAAGTTTGCCAAAATTTTTTTTTGTTTTCTGTATGGTCTAAACCTTCCGATCCGAACTAGCGGAAACTCAAAAAATTGTATCGAACTGACCTTAATACCATAATGTCAAATCTACTTTTATTAATACCAGTTCTATGACATGTTGACAGCCCTAATTTACATGTTTTATTAATACCTACTTTAAATTATTTATACTAGTTCTATGACATGGGTTGGGACGAAAAACCTCCCTTGAAATGGATATGCATGGTTCAAACAACCAAATTATTTGTTTCCATATTTTTTTTTATAACCTTTCCTTTCATCTCTAATTTACATGTCATAGGAACTGCTTAGAGAAAATGAAAGACAACGCAAAAGAAGCAAAGAGCCCAATTAAATGATTGTTGTTGCAACCTCTTCAATTTACTACACGATTA